AAAAAAAAAAATTAAAAAAAAGGATTGGGTTTTTTTTTTTTTTTTTTTTTTTTAGTTTTATTCATTTCAAAAGGGCCGGATCCGGCCTGCGGGCCATAGTTTGCCCACGGCTGGTCCAGACAATGGTAGCTGAAGCAACTTTCCCATTTATGAGGATGTAAATCCTTGCTAAAGGGCAAGTCTGCCTGTTACTGGAAATTGCCTACCTAAGGGCTATGGGTGTATCCCAAACCAATAAAAGGTTGGTGAGGCCTGAGCACCAGTGGAAGTCCTTCCTCTTGAGTTGGACTTGCCCCCCTGGTCCCTCAAAATTTCCAAATTATTATTTCTTGTATTGTCTCTTTCATTTGCGTGCAGACCTCTTCCAGATCCTGAACCCTGAACCACGCGGGATGTGGGGAAAATTTACACACCCCTGTTCTAGAGTCTAGATTGGAATCTAGACAGAAATCAATTAGGAAAAACTGGTCATAAATGACATAGTAGACAAAATGGATTGTGATTTTCAACCATAGTGTCACACAGGCAAACTGGTGTGCTGCAAGAATTTTTAGAACAAGCAACATCTGACAATTTAGTAAAAGATACCAGCTTGGTGGCCTTGAGGATGGATGGTGCTGAAGCGTCAGGCCCATACCCTGCCATCGCTGGCAGTTGGTCCGAGTGGAAGTGGAGCAGTGAGTATGCCTCTGCATCCCTGCTGAACTCCGCCACACACTCTAGGCCAGGCTGACCAGTAGGAGGGCTGCTGAGATGGGCATTCAAGCTTAGCGGGTGGGCCTGGGTGGAGCTGCTGCAGGTACAGATTTTGGTGAGGAATTCACCTAACCCAGCAGATATTGCAGAAAGCCTTGATGGCAGCTGGATGGCTTGGCTTCTCTGCCCTAAAGGGCACATCAAGACTCAATCATGAAATTCTGGCAAAGGCGGTCAGTTACCATTCTTATTGTGTCTATGGAAACAATCAGGCCAAATTAAAACTAGACTTAATGCAATAGATAAATTGGTCTTAATAAAAATGGGGGTAATTTTAAGGAGAAAAATTCTATTTCAATAGAAAATTATTAGAAACAAAATGTTTTCTTTTCCCTTCCACCAGACCATTTGTTGTAATTCTTGTTCTGATTGCTCAGTAATACTAAATTTTGTAACATAGTTTGTCTCAGCCAAGTCACAAGCCCCATTGCTTTAGGGATTAAGTAAACCAACGCGTATGCTGGGCCCCGAGGGCCAGGGTAGGGTTCTCTCCACTGAGATTCTATATGGCAGACCCCTGCCCTTAATATGGCCAAAGGGAAACTTGGGAGAAGTAGGGAACTTAGAAATTCAGAAACAGCTACCAGAACTTGGAACTATCCTTGACATCCACAGATGGGTTACTGATCGATTGTCCAACTCTCTAGGAACAGCTGTGCACCCTCACAAGCCTGGGGAACAGGTTTGGGTAAAAGATTGGGAAAAGGAACCCCTTAAGCCAGGCTGGAAGGGACCTTATCCAGTCGTACTAACCACGCCCTCAGCTCTCAAAGTTGCAGGACTGAACACCTGGATCCACCACTCCCGGATGAAAGCAGCCCACCAGCTGGACAATCAGCATCCAGAGTGGAAGGTGACCTCTGACCTGAACCACCCCCTGCGGATCACCTTCAAGAAGACTGCGGATCTGGCTGACAGGCCTGACTTTGGTATTTCTAGATAATCATTGTTTTCATTTTCTTAACAGTTTTCGCCAGAACCCCAGACTGGTACTGGGAGGAGAACTTCTCTGCCTTTGCTACTCAGAACTACTATTACAACTCTCCTTGGGGAAGATAATGAACAAGAGGGAGAATAAGAAGGAAAATAGGGGGGCAACTTTGGGGGCTTACATCATAGTTTAAAAACAGTAATCTGCCCTAACTGGTTTGGCTCAGTGGATAGAGCATCAGCCTGCAGACTAAAAGGTCCCAGGTTCGATTCCAGTCAAGAGCATGTACCTTGGTTGTGGGCACATCCCCAGTAGGAGGTGTGCAGGAGGCAGCTGATCAATGTTTCTAGCTCTCTATCCCTTTCTCTTCTTCTCTGTAAAAAAATCAATAAAATCTATAAAACTAAAATAAAAACAGTAATCTTACTTCCCCAGTCTAACTGATATGGACGGAGCTGCAAAGCCCACCTCCTTCCGTGCCCAGGCCTCATCGTCCCTCTGACAGAGAGCAAGGATCTCTTGGCTCTCAAAGAAACCTTCATCCCTCCTCAGCATGAAGCAGTTACAGAAAAGACCCTGCACCCCCTTTCTCTGAAAGAATTCCGAGCCAGGGTCCTTGAGGGGATGTGTTAGGTAGTTAGACAGACATGAGCAGAGCAAGGACAATGGGTCAACTAGAGGAGAAATAGATGGGACCCCAAGACATGCCTCTCATCACTCCGACTGCTCTGAAGCTGGAAATGAAGAAACCTGTGTAGACCCCCTCTCCCTTCCTCTAAGAAAGCCAACAGGTTTTAGAACAGCTAATAGAGAAGCCCCAGATGTTACTCCAGACCAGATCTCTGGACTGCCAGTACAATCCCTTGGGTAATGAAGATGAAAAAGACTCAAGCCACTGAACACCCCACTCTAGCTTTGAGTTTTCTATTGAATTCCCAAAGCTGAATATCAGCTTGAGGATCAAGAGGGGAAAGTGAAGGGGAAATAAGACATATGGGGGCAAGGCTGCAAGGCCCTAGACAGGTCCAGAGGTCTGATATAAAAGGAAGGCTTCCTCCATATTGTCTCACTTAGGATTTGGAGAACTGATCCCTGAGTCACTGTATTAGTACATCTGAAAATAAAAGGGTTTTCCTGAATCTCCGAGTACTCCTGTGAGTATTTTCCAGTTGCCTGGTAACACTTCAGCTGCAGGTGTCCCAGGGAGGTGTTTTTACCAGGATCTTCACAAGCTTGTAACATTCTTAGAGTGAAGTTACAGAGAATTCAAAAATGAGGCAGATTGGGTTTGAAACCAGAAAATTCTTGATTCCAATTTCCCCTGAGTCATTAAAACCTCAGTGAGGCCTGGCCAGTGTGGATCAGTGGTTGAGTGTCGATCTATGAACCAGGAGGTCACGGTTCGATTCCCGGTCAGGGCACATGCCCGGGTTGCAGGTTCGATCCCCAGTGTGGGGTATGAAGGAAGCAGCTAATCAATGATTCTCTCTCATCATTGATATTTCTATCCCTCTCTCCCTCTCCCTTCCTCTGTCAAGTCAATAAAAATATATTTTAAAAAAACCCTCAGTGAGGAGGGGGGAGGGGGAAGGGCAGCCTGCTCTCTCAGCCCTTCTGTCTCGCCATTGAAGGAGAGGCAGCTGGAATTAAGGAAGTCAGCCATCTCTGTAGGTAATTATCAGGTGCTTTTCACAGAGAATGGAAGTTTACAGCAAAGAAAAAGAAAGGCCTTCCGTTTTCCTCCTGACAATCATCACTCCTGTCATTTGTAACATTGCTTTCCAAAATCATAGAGGGACCCTTCAAGGATGCAATTTTGGATAAGACCTTTCCCACACACATTATACCTTGAAGGTTTCTCTTAGATGCACATTGACTGATGTTTAGTGATGCTTAACTCTTGGTTTAATACATTGCCCGATTCCTTATATCTCAACATCTTTCTGTCAACATAAGAAACATTCAAAACTATGAAGAATTTTTGTGGGTTTATTTGAGCCAAACTGTCCACAAGTGACAGGAAGCAAAACTTCAACAAATTGAGATAATGTTCCAGAGAACAGCAGTTGTGCACCTTATTTTATACATTATAATTAAAAGAGAAGATGCAGCCCTGACCGGTTTGGCTCAGTGGATAGAGCGTCGGCCTGACTGAAGGGTCGAAGGTTCAATTCCAGTCAAGGGCATGTACCTAGGTTGCGTGCACATCCTCAGTAGGGGGTGTGCAGGAGGCAGCTGGTCGATGTTTCTCTCTCATCGATGTTTCTAACTCTCTATCCCTCTCCCTTCCTCTCTGTAAAAAATCAATAAAATATATTTTAAAAATAAATAAATAAATAAATAAATAAATAAATAAATAAAAGAGAAGATGCAGAGCATGTCTCTCTCCTGCCTGTTTTTCTGGAAGGCCACCAAGTTGGTTGCTCTGTCTGAAAAAAAAGTAAAAGTCTTTAATGTAGCAATTTAAGGTTTAAAAGTAAAAACAGCAAGGATTAAGGTTCAGTAAAAATTAGAAGTCAGCCCTAACCTGTTTGGCTCATTAGATAGAGCGTCGGGAGTGTGCAGGAGGTGGCTGATCGATGTTTCTCTCTCATCGATGTTTCTGGCTCTCTATCCCTCTACCTTCCTCTCTGTAAAAAAATCAATAAAATATATTTTTTTTAAAATTAGAAGTCCGTGAATGGGAGATTATAACCACAGGAAATTTAAAGTACTAAATTTGGCTGGTCTGAGTAGTGTCTTACTTCTTCTTTTTTTTAAATATGTATTTTATTTATTTATTACAGAGAGGAAGGGAGAGAGAGAGTTAGAAACATCAATGAGAGAGTAACATCGATGAGCCGCCTCCTGCACACCTCCCACTGGGGATGTGCCCGCAACCAAGGCACATGCCCCTGACCGGAATCAAAACTGGGACCCCCTCAGTCCACAGGCCAACGCTCTATCCACTGAGCCAAACTGGTTACGGCGAGTGTCTTACTTCTTAACCAACCATCCAGGCCTCTGGCCTCAACTGCTCCTTGCCTTACCTTTTTCTTTTCCCTTGGATAACAGCCCATTCTAGCATTCCCTCCCACTTTCACTGCAATAAAATCTCAACCACTCATCTGCCACCCTTATAAAAAAAAAAAAGAGAGAGAAGATGGAAGTGGGTTATATGAAATCCATTGGTGATAGATTAGAGAGGTGGGGGAGAGCCGAGTGAGGAAACCTCTGGGAGTGGATGAAAAGTAAAATGATTGATACATGTCGTTTATATAAGTGTACACACCTTAATTAAAAGTGAACAATTAACATAATAACAATGAGAGGGTTTATGGTTTCCCCCTGGTGCACTGGTTGTGTCCAGAGGGCTCTAGAAAAGGGGTAGTTACCCTGATATTCCAAAGGAATGTTATCCTGGCTGCAAAAGGCAATAGACAGGCTTAGATAAGGATTCCCTCTTGTTAAGAAATATTCTTGCCTAGGACCTACCTGCTACAAACTGCTTTTAAAAAGATTTTCATTTCAGACCATTCTTTCTGGTTACTTTAGGTATCTGACTTTGAAAGATTGAAATGCAGGCCTTCAACGAGCTTGTTAGGTTAGCATGTGTCCCCTTTTCATGCATACATTACGTTTGGGACATAAATCAACCCAAAGGAAGTATTGAGGAGCCAACATTTTGTAGGATAATGAGGTGCCCTGGTACTGGGAAGGCTCAGTCTTAGTTTTTCTTCATATATAATGGACCACTGGGGATGGAGAAAGACTGTAACCTTGGATGGCAGTCAAGTCTTATGGGTCCCTATTAAGTATAACAAGCAATTTTTTAAAAATTGATTTCAGAGAGAGGGAGAGGGAGAGAGAGATAGAAACATGAATGAGAGAGAATCATTGATTGGCTGCCTCCTGCATGCCCCCCACTGGGGACCAAGCCCGCAACCCGGGCATATGCCCTGACCGGGAATCGAACTGAGCTACACCCGGCTGGGCCAAGCAATTTTTTTAAAAAATAGATTTTTATTGATTTCAGAGAGGAAAGGAGAAGGAGAGAGAGCAACATGAATGATGACCGAGAATCCTAGGTCAGCTGTCTCCTGCATGCACCTCCCTGGGGATGGAGCCCGCAACCCTGGCATGTGCACTGACCTGGAATGAAATTCTGACCTCCCAGTTCCTAGTTCTATGCTCAATAACCGAGCCACACCTGCAAGGCACAATAGATTAGTTTTAATTTATAAGTTATTATGATTCAGGTTTTATTTACTGTGTATTGCGTTTAGTATATTTTCTTATACTTGTAGTTTAAAGGCATATAATACACCTTCAGTAATATTAATAGCTGTAATATATATACATATCGGTTTGAGAAAAGCCTCTTATTATTATTAATTACTATTACTAATACTAGGAGTAACATTCATTTGACAGGCTGCACCAGTGTCTTAGAATGCCTGGCTATTTATAATGATTGGGCTGTTCGTTTTTGAAAAGTCTGATTTCTATTGTAGATGAAGGGAAGTGTCAGAGACAGACACAGATGTCCATTTATGATTAGGCACCTGATAACATAAGGTACCTTCCAACACTGGGAGAGAAATTTTAATTAATATATTTTTCAACAGATGAATATATCTGGTAATAAGTTGTGATCTTTGAAGTCTTTGTATTCTGGGAGTACATTGTCAAATGAATGTTATTTAGTAGTCCCTATAATCTCATTAATGGGCCATTGATAATAATGTAGAATGTCTCCTACTTTTCCTTCCAAAACAAATTTCTGGGTAATGAAAAACTGTTTATGTGCTGACTTCACTAAAAGGCAGCACTTCTACATGGGTCAGCTAACACTGAGCACAGTTATCCTCATACCTATATTAAATGTACACAGTCCAAGATTAGAGCTTTTACTAGAGCAAAATTCTCTGCATAGTAGTTTCTTTGGGGCCCAAAGGTAGAGATGAAATAACTTTTTTTTCTCAACCCTTTACTTTCATGAGGTGTCTTTTGATCTGAAATGGGTTTCATTTAGACAGCAGAAGTATGGGTATAGATCTCATATCCATCCAGTTACCCTGTGTTTTCTGGTTGAAGTTAACCCACTTATATTGTGATTATTGATAGGTGTGTAGTTATTAGCATTTTAAAATTAATTAATACAGTCCTAGCTGGGGACTTTAGCTTCCCATTAACATCAATGGATAGATTTGCCAGAAAAAAAATGTCAACACGGAAAAAGTGGTCTTAAATGATTCATTAGACAAGATGGATTGGATAACAGAGATTATCAACTGAGTGTCACACAAGGAAACTGGTGTGCTGCAACATTTTTTAGAACAAGCAACACCTGGCTATTTAGTCAATACCACAGACTACATTACCCATAGATTGTCGAATTAAAATAAGTGACAACAGCCAGCACAGTAATAGCTGTGTGGTGAGCATAATTCAAAGTCAGGCTGAAACCGCTTTGGCTCAGTGGATAGAGCGTCGGCCTGCGGACTGAAAGGTCCCAGGTTCGATTCCGGTCAAGGGCATGTACCTGGATTGCGGGCACATCCCCAGTGGGAGATGTGCAGGAGGCAGCTGATCGATGTTTCTAACTCTCTATCTCTCTCCCTTCCTCTCTGTAAAAAATCAATAAAATATATTTAAAAAAAAACAAAGTCAGACATTTTTTTGGACAAATCAATAAAATATATTTAAAAAAAAACAAAAAACAAAGTCAGACATTTTTTTGGACTGGAAAAATATATATTTTGGTGGACCTCTGAATTTCAGTAATTATTCCATTTCTGCCGTGAGATAAAATATGTTGAAATCTCTGACTTAAGAGCTTTGCAACCCAAAGCAGAAGAATATGCATTCTGGACAAAATGAAGACAGAAGACTGTCTAAACCTAGAAACAATGTCTATTTCTCTATTTTCCAAATGACCATGTGAAAAACAAATCTTATGTATATTTTGCACCAATACACCTCCTCAATTTTCCTCACGACAGTACCAGAAAATGGAACTATTGTCTAGGTGACATCAAATTCCTGTGAATGATCCAGATCCAATAGTTTGTCCCAAACAGAACAAAACCATAAAGCCCCTCATCCAGAGAGAGACCTAGTCACAAAATATCAGGAGATTCTTATATGTATAAATGCCCCATGGGAATGTCAGGAAGTAGAACAGAAGAGTATCCAATATCTAGTTTTTTAATCATTGTGTGATCCTTTGGGATGGCCCATGAAAAAGAACTGATATTTACCAGCTTGTACAAATTTACAACAGTACACTGGAGAAGGAATAAATGTGGGGCTTTCATTTCAATTTCTGCTATCCTGCTGTCCCTGAAATTTACAGTCACGGCTTGGAAAAACACTGCAGGGACAACTAATGCCTATGAACATAACTGTGGTCATGCTGTCAATATACATAACAACTTTGATGCAAAATAATAAAATTTTTCAACCGCAAATCTGCCATGTTCTCTGGGATTCCTCTTGAAAGAATGACCAATATCCAGCTACATTTAAGTAATTGACAATAAAATCTAACATGGGCTGAACCCATCCCCCAAAATAAGTTAATGAGGTAACACTGAGAAATTGTTTTTTTTTCTTCCTTTTTTGATTTCAGAGAGGAAAGAAGAGGGAGAGAGAGAGAAACATCAATGATGAGAGAATCATCGATTGGCTGCCTCCTGCACACCCCCCACTGGGGATCGAGCCCACAATCCAGGCATGTGTCCATGACAGGAATCAAACCTGGGATCATTCATCCCATAGGCTGACGTTCTATACACTGAGCGAAACCGGCTACATTACACTAAGAAATTCTTAAGGACACCAATGAAAATCAGGACAAGAAAAATCATTCCAGTTATGAAGTACACAAAAATTAATATTCATATTCAAAATCCAGAATCCAGCATGAAAACATAAATGGTGGTCCTCCTACTTCATGAATATAAAGCAAAATACTTCCCAATTCTGATGTCAATTATTGCATTAGTAAAATTCTAAAGTACAGAACAGAAGCTACAGGGGCCAGAAGGGCTGATGTGGAAGAGAAGAGGTTTAGATGCCATTGTTATAGCACTGCAGAAAAGAGTATCAGCTGAGTAAAAAAATGAGGGAAAAAACACATAACACAGAAATATGAAATAGAAAATGAAATTAAGTTAATTTTCTGTGTTTACCTAGGAGTGCAGCTCGGAAACAGGTGTCCTCTCTCAAATGCAGAGTTCATGGCAATTCTGCATCCTGGGTATGAAACATCTCCTATCTTGTACTACAACATCACTGGTATAGGATTTGAGAGAGAAGAAGGGAGAGGGAAATAGATAGAAACAGCAATGATAACAAAGAATCATCAATCAGCTGCACTTGCACGAACCCTACTGGGTATCTAGCCCACAAACAGGGCATGAGCCTTGATTGGGAAATGAGCACTGACTTCCCAGTTCATGGGTCGACGCTCTACCAAGGAGAAACACAGTGTGGGCAACCCCACAGTTTATCAAAGTCACACAAAATACATTTATAGGTGTTCCCTCCAGTACGAGCTCTCTTGTGTTGAGCAAGACAATGGTAATTAAAAGTTGTGCCTCAGTCTTCACAGTTGTAAGGCTTTCCTTCACAATGAGTTCTATGATCCTAAATAAGACTCCATTGACTAGAAAAGGATTAACATCACTCGTCACATTTGCAAGGTTTTTCTCCAGTATAAACTCTCTGATATATAGGAAGGAATACACACAGACTACAGGTTTCCTCACATTTTCTTTTCTTTTTTCAAAATATATTTTTATTGTTTTCAGAGGACAGTGCATGCCACACACTGGAGATCGAGTCTGCAACCAGGGCATGTGCCCTGACCAGGAATTGCCCCCTAACCTTGTAGTTCATAGGTCAAAACAAACAACCGAGGAATGCCAGCCAGTGCTTTCTCACATTTTCTACAGTGTAAGGTTTCCACCAGTATAAAATCTCTGATGTTGAGTAAATTTTGAGCTGTGGGTAAAGGCTCCAGCTTATTCTCTACATTTGTAAGGTCAATCTCTGTTAGGAAGTCTCTCAAGTACAATAATACCCAAATGACTTTTCAAGGTTTTTTTACATTTTTCATATTCATAAGGCTTCTTTCCAGAGTGAATACTGTAATGTACAGTACGTTCTCACTAGTAGCCAAGGACTTACAAAACTCCACACATCTCTAAGACTTCTCTGAACTATGAAATCTATGCGGTCAAGTACAGCAGGACCAGTAAATAAAAGGTTTGTCACACTTTCTACATTTATAAGGCTTCTCTCCAGTATGATCTCTCTGCTGTGCATTTTCCTCTTCAAAATAAATTTTGAAGAACTGCCAATGGATTTGCCACATTCTCTACATTTATAAGGCTTCTCTCCGGTGTGAACTCTGATGATAAGGTATGATGTTACACTGAAGGTTTTGCAACATTCTCTACATATATAAGGGTTCTCTCCATTGTGAAGTCTCTGATATGTAAGGTCTGATGCTCCACTCAAGATTTTGCCATTCTCTACAATATTCCTCTCCGGTGTGAATTCTCTGATGAGAAGTAAGGTCTGAGGACTGTGTAAAGGCTTTGCCACATTCATTACACTTATAAAGCTTCTCTTCAGTATGAAGTCTCTGATGAATACTAAGAGTTGAGGGCTGGCTAAAGACTTCACCACAGTCGGTACATTTATAAGGTTTTTCTCCAGTATGAACTCTCTGATGCGTAGTAAGGTGTGAGGACCATCTAAAGGCTTTGCCACATTCTACACATTTATGAGGCTTCTCTCCAGTATGAAGTCTCTGATGCCTAGTAAGGTATGAGTACAGTGTAAAGGCTTTGCCACATTCTCCACATATGTAAGGCTTCTCTTCAGTATGAACTCTTTGATGCCTAGTCAGATATAAGGACAGTGTAAAGGTTTTGCCACATTCTCTACACTTAAAAGGCTTTTCTCCAGTATGAACTCTCTGATGATTAGAAAGATCTGAGGATCTTCTAAAGGCTTTGCCACATTCTCCACATTGATAAGGTTTTTCTCCAGTATGAACTCTCTGATGTGGAATAAGATCTGCGGACCATCTAAAGGCTTTGCCACATTCTCTACATTTATAAGGTTTCTCTCCAGTATGAACTCTCTGATGCCTAGTAAGGCCTGAGGAGCTGCCAAAGGCTTTGCCACATTCCCTACATTTATAAGGTTTCTCTCCTGTGTGAACTCTTTGATGACAAGTAAAGTGTGAGGATTGGCTAAAGACTTTGCCGCATTCAGTACATTTATAAGGCTTTTCTCCAGTGTCAACTCTCTGATGATAAGTAAGGTATGATGCTACACTGAAGGTTTTGCCACATTCTCTACATATATAAGGGTTCTCTCCACTGTGAAGTCTCTGATAAGTAAGTTCTGATGCTCCACTGAAGATTTTGCCACATTCCCTACATTTATAAGACTCCACACCGGTGTGAATTTTCTGATGAGAAGTAAGGTGTGAGGACTGTGTAAAGGCTCTGCCACATTCATTACATTTATAAAGCTTCTCTCCAGTATGAAGTCTCTGATGAATACTAAGGGTTGAGGGCCGGCTAAAGACTTTGCCACATTCTCTACATTTATAAGGTTTTTCTCCCGTATGAACTCTCTGATGCGTAGTAAGGTCTGAGGCCCATCTAAAGGCTTTGCCACATCCTCTACATTTATAAGGCTGCACTCCAGTATGAACTCTCTGATGCATAGTAAGATGTGAGAACCATCTAAAGGCTTTGCCACATTCTCCACATTTATGGGGCTTCTCTCCAGTATGAAGTCTCTGATGCCTACTAAGGTATAAGGACAGTGTAAAGGCTTTGCCACATTCTCCACATATGTAAGGCTTCTCTTCAGTATGAACTCTCTGATGCTTAGTAAGGTATAAGGACAGTGAAAAGGCTTTGCCACATTCTCTACATTTATAAGGCTGTTCTCCAGTATGAACTCTCTGATGCTTAGTAAGATCTGAGGACCATCTAAAGGCTTTGCCACATTCTCTACATTTATAAGGCTTCTCTCCAGTATGAACTCTCTGATGCTTAGTAAGGTCTGAGGAGCTTCCATAGGCTTTGCCACAATCTCTACAGTCATAAGGTTTCTCTCCAGTGTGAATTCTCTGATGAATACTAAGGGTTGAGCTCCGGGTAAAGGCTTTGTCACATTCTGAACATTTATAAGACTTTTCTCCTGTATGATTTTTATGATGTTGAGTATGTCTTGAGAACTGACTAAAGCCTTTTCCATCTTCTCTGAGCTTGCAAAATTTTGCAATAGTATGAATTCTTCCCTTATGTACAATAAGAGAAGAATGACATTTAAAGACTTTGCCACATGCTTTACATTTGTAAGACTTCCCTCCAGTCTGAATTCTCTGATTTAGAGTACAACCTGAAGGCCAATTAGATGTTCTATCAGAATCTTTACATTTATAAGTTTTTTCTCCATTATGGATTTTTTCCATATTTAGATTGAATATTTGACTGGAGAGTCTACCACAAGGATTCCATTTGTCAGCCTCCTCCCCGATATGAATATTCTCTTGTTCAGTGTAATTTGAAAACTGCTGAAAAGACTGGACATATTTACTGCCTTTGTATGTCTTCTCCACAATAGGAATAACTTGATGTGTAGTGTGATTGGACATTTGGTCAATGACTTTTCCACTTTTATAATGGTCCTCTGGAAGCTCGCTTCTCCACTGATTATTAAGGTATGACTCTTGCTTAAAGTTTTTCCAATGTTCATACCACTGATAACTTTGGTCTCCATTATATGTACTCTGGAGATAATGGGAGACAGAAAGGCCTTTAGTGATAGTTATGAATTTATTAATCATGTACACTTGTTCCATAAGAACCATTTTATGATACTCATTAAAACAAGAGGGTTGTGCCGAAGCCGGTTTGGCTCAGTGGATAGAGCGTCGGCCTGCGGACTGAAGGGTCCTGGATTCGATTCCGGTCGGGGGCATGTGCCTTGGTTGCAGGCACATCCCCAGTGGGAGATGTGCGGCATGCAGGAGGCAGCTGATAATGTTTCTAACTCTCTATCCCTCTCCCTTCCTCTCTGTAAAAAAATCAATAAAATATATTAAAAAAAAAAATTAAAAAAAAAAACACCAAAAAAAAAACACAAGAGGGTTGTATAGAAAATGCTTTCCTAATTTATTAAAATTATATACAAAAAATAAATACAAAACATTAATTTTCAGAGGAAGAATAAATCCTTGTTTAAAAGACTGCCAAATTGCCTAGCAAGCATGGCTCATTGGTTGAGCTTTGATGTATGAATAAGATGGTTGGGGTTCCATTCTGGGTCAGGCACAAGCCCTGGATTTGGATTCGGTCCCCAGTGTGAGGAAAGCAGGAGGCAGCCAAGAAATAATTGACTCTCATTGATGTTTGCCTCTCTCTCTTCCTCTACATTGCTATCTAAAATCAATTAAAATATATATTTTAATAAAAATAAAATAAGGGGGGTAAGAGATCAATCAAAGGACTTATATGCATGCATATAAGCATAACTAATGGA